CACAGAGGATCTCTCTGATGGAGAGGAGGTCTTCCCGAAAGAGATTGCCAAGTGGAACTCCAATGACCTCATGGACAAGATCGAAGCTGCAGAAACGGAGGAAACTCCTGGTATGATGAACACCTCTACATGGCAGGCACAGCCCAACGACACTTGATGTTAAATGTGTGTTTGTGTTTCTAGGTGAGCTGTTCAAGGAAATGACTGTTGATTATGAAAGAGCAACCAGCGAGGAAAGATTAGATGAGGTATGTGTGTCACATATTGACTGCCAATGCAAATAACACACCTATAACTCGCACTCCTCTGATGCCCGTCCATGTCTGGAATAAATATCCCTTACAAGCCATCTGCTGAAAGTTTCCTTCAGGACATGATTTAATTTGAGTTTAGCTGCTAAAAAACAAAAAAAACATATCAGGCTTTAAACTTTGGAGGATAAGAGCCTCTCTGTCCTCTTGTGTTCAGATGCGTGGCTGTCTTAGCGGCCAAGCCGATAGCTCTCCCATTCCCACCATCACGGTAACAAGGCACCAGTCAGTAAGTAAACATTTTGGCCCCAGTGCAATGTGGGGTACAACAGTTCTTCAGACACCTCCAGTCTATTAAATGCCCCTGCCCTTATCCTTGCCGTAGCCCGAACCCAAATCCATGTGTACTCCTCAACCTCACCACCTTCTGTTCGACCCCCTCCCCCCTCCTCTGTACTTAATGGAAATGTGAAGTTTTGGATTGGAAGTAAAAGACAAAACTACACATTGTGCTGTGCTAATTAGTGTGAACTTGTCATCAGGAAGCATGGTTGTTGTTTGCTGTTAGTTGAACGGTTGTCCAGGTGAAGGTTGGCTCTGTTATGTGTCTTCATGGTTCCTCACCCCTCAATGGCTATAAAAAGCAGTTTGCCATGTAATTCATGTTCAAAACGATGGACGCAAAACGTTGCAAGTCGTACCTTTTGAATCGGTTAAAAAGTGATTTGATGCCCATTTTCAAGGCCTCGTTTATCTGTTTTTGTTTGCTTGTTTTATCACTCACAGTAAGTACGTATTCTTTGGTCATGCTGATGAAGTGAATAAACATTTTATTGGATATTTTCCCGATAGCGTGCCTTAACATTCCCGTCCATAACGCTGCTTATTAAATTTGCTGTTCTCAGGAGAGCTCTTCCCAGCAGTGTCTGCAGCCCTCCAAGATCCATGTGCTCATCTTGGTCTTGCACGGAGGGAACATCCTGGACACCGGAGGAGGCGACCAGAACAGCAAGCAGGCCGACGTCAACACAATCAGTACGGCTTTTGACACAGTCATGCGTGTTCACTATCCTGCGGCGCTGGGACGCATCGCCATCCGCTTGGTGCCCTGCCCTGCCATCTGTGCTGAGGCCTTCTCCCTAGTGTCCAAGTAAGAGCACGCGCATGCACACATTTCTCTGCAGGCTCAAAACCTCATGGATAATCATTGAAGGTTTGTGTGCAGTTAGGTTCATAATTTATTGGATGAAGACAGAATTCTTGTGGTTTTACACAACCACAGTGGAGTTTAAATCAGATAATCAATCAAGATGTGATTGAAGTGTAGACTTTCAGCTTTTATTTAAGAGGTTTGATGAAGAATTCCATTAACTGTTTAGGAATTACAGACATTTTTATACAGTCTTTAATTTTAGCTCTAAAGTAATTGGGCAAATTTACATCATTTTAAATGTAAGGATCCTAAGGCTCAGTGACTGCCTAAAGTCTAGAGCCCATATACATTTTCTGTTGAAGTGCTCTGGTGAACCTTTACTACAAACACTTGAGTTGCTGCTTGTTTAATAACTGAAAAGCTGTGCCTTTGAGCTGAGAACAGGTGACTGACTATTGAAAAATATCATATTTCTGTACCCTGAGAAACTCTAGGGTTGCTCTTACAGTTTGCTTTGTGTCATTGTCCATTTGCACTGTGAAGAATTGTCCGATCAGTTTTGCAGCTTTTGTCTGAATCTGATCAGAGAGTGTAGCTCCATACACTGCACAGTTAATCCTGCAGCTTCTGTCAGCGGTCGCATCACCAATAAACACAAGTCCTCCGATTATACTAGCAGCCATACGTACCCATACCTTCACACTGCCTCCACCATATCTGACATTATGAGTTGTTTCTCTAATACTCTATATTTTCTCATCCATGTTCATGCTGGTTTCATCTATCCACAGATATTTTTATACAGTGTAACCAGTGGTTTGCACCTTGCTGCAAATTCTCTGTATTTAAGTTCATGAAGTCTTCTTTTGATTGTAGATTTTGCCAGTGATAATTCTGCCTCCTGTGGTGGTGGTTGTTGTTGTTTTTTGTGTTTTTTCTTAACGATGTAAATAATTCCTCACGCACTTTGGCCTTCTTCAGTGGTCTTTCAGTGTACCGGATTGTTTATTTGGCCACTCCTGAAGTTTTGTCTCTCTCTCTCTCTCTCTGAGAGGTTGATTTTGGTTTTTCAGCCCAATGATGGCTGATATTTCTTCGGGCCATATATTTAAATTTACAGTTAAAAGCTTTAAAATGTAAATTCAACACTTTGAATCAACTTCAATTATGTCTTCTTCATTTATCATGACATAACAAGTGAAGATGCCTCACCTGGCCTTGGAACTGCTCGTCAGTCAATTGTAGAATTAGTTTTGAGCCACTAAAAATGAGGGACTCTATAAAAAAATGCATCTGACTTTGTTAAACCCCTCCAATTAAACTCAAAGTCTGCCTTTCAGCCACATCCTGATTTGTAATTTAAAAATAACAACAAAAATTGTGTTTGTGAAACAAATTGTGGTTCTAACCGTATTTTAGCTCGATAGCTGTTTACTTATGATGGAAGAGGTCCAGGTGCAGCTCGTGACTCTTGTCCTCTCTTCCTGCGTTTATTTATTCTTCCGTGTGCATGCCTTGGGTTTTAAATTTCATAATTTGATTTTTATCCACTAATGTTCTCACAGCTTGAGCCCTTACAGCTACGATGAAGGTTGTCTGTCCAGCAGCCAGGACCACATCCCGCTGGCAGCCCTGCCTCTCCTCGCCACCTCTTCTCCACAGTACCAGGATGCTGTGGCCACCGTCATCTTCCGAGCCAACCAGGTGTATGCGGACTTCATAAAATCTCTGGACGGGGCTTCTTTCTCCGGCCAGGTCAGATACCGATGGGGTTTGTTGTTCTTGTATGCTGTTTAATAAAGAATTGGAATCATTAGAGTTGAACCAGCTGTACTTTTTGGAGCCACATTATCCTTACATCCAGCGTGTAACTGCGGAAGTCTTTTCAGGTGATCCTGAACCCCACGCATATATGTAATAAATATTTTTCATCCTTTAACTCTCCAGGTTTGCCTCATTGGGGACTGTGTGGGAGGAATCTTGGGCTTTGATGCTCTGTGCAGCAGCAATCAAACAGTAAATGAGAGCCAGAACAGCAGTCGCAGGGGCAGTGTCATTAGCGTACAGGTAAGCGAGACATCCTCCAGCATTAATGAATGCACGGCGACAGTCTCGGCTCATCCTAAACAGTGCCTGGAACACTCCTGTGTGCACCTTTAACCTGTTTTGTTCTTCTTAATTAGCTCATTTGTTGATATTTTTTTCTTAAGGTGCTGGAAGTTTTAATGACACATTTTCACAAATCGCCCCTGCAGGACCAGGATCTTCTCTCTCCTGGCATCATTGTCAACAGCGGACACGGATCAGCATCTCCAACCTTGGAGGGCAGCCGCCACCTCAGTCGCAGCAACATCGATATCCCACGTACCAGCGCAGGCGACGACACCAAGAGACAGCTGCCTCGGAAGAGAAGTGACTCTTCCACCTACGAGCTGGACACCATAAAGCAGCACCAGGCTTTCCTGTCCAGGTGTGTCGTCCGTGGGAGGACAAACTCTTTATGTGGAATGAACTTCTTTTGTCCTTTTGTCATGCACTGTCAGAATATGTTTTATTTTTAGTTCCAGGCACGGAAGTGACTTTGTGTTGTCCTCCCAGCTTACATTCCAGTGTCTTGCGGAACGACACAACCTCCCGAAGGTCGAGCAGTAGCACAATGCTGGATGGAGGCTCCCTGGGGAAATTTGACTTCGAAGTGTCCGACTTTTTCCTCTTTGGCTCTCCACTTGGCTTGGTACTTGCCCTGAGAAAGACTGTGATCCCTATGTTAGATGGTGAGCTTCAATTACCAGGCTTTGTACTATCTGTAAAGTGAAAGGTTTGCCCCAGATGGAAATCTGCTTATTACTATAGACACCTATAGACCAGGCTGTCACCAAAATATGCTTGAATTCTTCCCTTCCTCTTTCTTATGTCTCTGGTTTCATTTCTCCCCCTAGTGGCCCAGCTACGACCTGCCTGTCAGCAGGTTTATAATCTGTTCCACCCCGCTGATCCTTCAGCCTCCCGCCTCGAACCTCTGCTGGAGCGGAAATTTCACCTCCTCCCTCCGTTCAGCGTGCCCCGTTACCAACGCTTTCCCCTGGGAGATGGAAACTCCGCCCTGCTGGGTGAGCTCTTTTTACAGATGATGGATGAAAGGCCACGTTAATGTGAAGCTTTCAGTCTTTGTACGTCTGTCTTGGATGCACACACACGAATGCAAAATACCCTTTAAAAAAAACCCCAGCAACAACCACTTAAGATCACATCACCTGATGCTTCAGATGCTGATTTTAACCCACTGTCCTTTTTCCCATGGATGCACACCATAGATGGCTTAAAGATGCCTTAGTAGCATGCGTTGAGTTCATTTACAAAGTAGACACTGCCTGAAAGAAAAATTACACGCTTTTCTACTGTTTGTGCTTCGGCATGTTTTGTATAGCAGTTTATTAATCTCGGTGTTGTCACAGTCCCACTGGTGGTTTCTGTTTGGACTGATCTTTATAGCGGAGGATGCCTACCCTGTTTATACAATTACATGTCTGATGTTCTCGAAGAAAACGCACACAGAATTTAATAAGATCTTTAATGAGGAGAAATTTCTTTTTTTTTTTAAAAAGATATCTAACATTATTGAATCAGGAACTGAGGCTTAGTAAGGATGGACACCGGGGTTAATAAAGATGTTTAATATGGTTAAGATGTTTCTTAATTACTTCAGACCAGAGTTTTTGTGTTCCCTGGTGGTCATGGCCTCCATCAGATCAGCTACCAATGACCATCTTCAGGCCTTCCAACATTTTTTTTTTATAGCGATGAAGTTTCAAAGACAATTTCAAGATCACTGTTAAGGCAAGAGAGTTCAAATGATTTCATAAATAGCATATTGCAGGCTTTTTCTAATCTTAGAACAGGGTCATATGTCAGCTTATTGTGTCTCTGAGGAGCAGCTGTGGTCCAGGAAAAAGTGAGCTCCACTAAGGGCTTGACTCTTGTTCCTTGTTCAGTTCTTGCTTCATATGTTTTTGTCTTCCTTGTCTTCTTTCCTTCCTCCTCTCTTGGCCTCCTGTCTCCATATCCGTGTACCTTGCTCTCTACCTCTAAAACCTCCCCCCCCGACTTCTGCCCCTCCACCCACCCCCCTCTGTAGTGGAGACAGTCCAGAGCAACGCTCAGCTGCTGCTTGACAGCGGGCCTCTCCTGTCCCTTCGCTGTCAGGAGACCATCAGTGAGACCTGCATCCCTGTACCTGTGCTAAACTGGCAGGAGGGCTCCCTCAAAGCCACACCCGCCACTATGGAGTGTGTGTAGCCTCTCCCATTCACCTCTATCTGTTCCCAGCCCTCATTCGCCGTATCTCTGTCGTCCCTGTGTTCGTCCCTCTCGCCATTACGTCGAGATGCTCAGATTCCAGGCCACCTCTTACACTCTTTGAGTATGTCCATGCTGTCATTTCAGTGTCCCCAAATACTGATAAATACATATATATTTGACCTTTTAGCATCGTGTCTTCTGGTTTACAATTTTAAAAGAAATGTAGCCAATTGGAACATCAAGTCATGGAAATACTCGAGACAAATCTGCTAAGCATCTCTTGTGGTGCTGTGTTTTGCTTTGTGCCATCACATTTTCATGACAGAGTTTGGAAGATGCAAGCGTCTGTGTTTGTGTGCTGCGGTTTTAAGGCCGGTTTCAGTGTATTTGCATCATCTCTGTAATATTAGCTGATTTGTGGTGACATAGGGTTTTTTTTGTTTCCTTTTTTTTTTTTTTTTTTTTTAAATACTGTTTTTTTGAATTTCCAAAAAAGGTTTTGATGTGCTGCTTGTGACGTGTTTGTGCAGTGGACTTGGAGCTCTGTGTGTACATGCTAAACAGACTGAAGCCTGTGCTGCTTCTTGTGATACTAGTCAGAGGTCTTGTGATTTTACTAAATCTCTGACGTTATTTTATTTTCAAGACATTAGAATAGGCTCTGAATTTAAAAATCACCTCCATAACACACACTAATATTACTGTAGAAGACGTGGATATTTGTGATTTTACATTCACTGTGTGTTTAATGTCTTCATTTACCAGTCACGTGTTGATCGGTGAAGAAATGTGACCGGGGCCTCGCCGCCTGCTGTCACATTTCTCACCTGCATTCCCCCTCCTCCCCCAACCGTCACCGTGAGTTCCCCCTTACCTGTGTCTCTGTCTAATGGGATCTCCTTGTTTGGGCTCAATAGCGGATGTTGTTCAGTCTCATGGTGGTGTCTTCATGGACAGTTCGTACCCCTCATCCCCCGTAACGGGCCCCCTCTCCCGGGGCCAGCGGAGGGCCAGTGAGGTCAGCATTGCCAGCCAGGTCTCAGGAATGGCAGACAGTTACACTGCCACCAACATAGCCAACAGTAAGTGCTCTCAATACCAAACAGTCTCTCTTTCTCTCTTCCTTCCACTCACACAAACACTCTTCTAGTAATTCTCCCGCTTTCTCTCACATTCAGCCCAACTTTTATCTGCTTTTATCTGTCCTAGTTTCTCTTTCCAACACTCCGACATCATTTACTCTCACTCTGACTCTACACACACCCTGCTGTCCTGCAGAAACAGTCTAGTCAGCCACGTTGAGTGTCCCGCTCCTTTTTGCTCTTTTCTGCTTTGCCAGATTTGGGATTGAAGTGAGACTCATGTAAGGTGATTTATCCATCTCCTGTTAAAACTAAGACAAGATCAGAGTCCCGGAGAAGAAACCAGCTTAGAGCCACTTTCCACTGTCTGTCTTTCTCTTACTCACTGTCTAAATGTAAATGCAATGAACGAGTGCTGCATTTAATTAATGTGGCGATGCATGTAGACACCTGTTTCCCTCAGCCATTCCTGCATTGTCGACTCCCTATTGCAGTGTTTGCTGAGATAACCGGTACTGTTTCCTCTTTGTTTGAATGTCCTTTGAATTCCTCCTCCCCCTCACCCGTTCACTTCTGTTACCAGAACATTTATTTGTGCCTCATGTTACTGCGCCTGAACACTGCTGTTCAGCCACCCACAGTATAACCCTGGAAATGTGCTTAAACTGATTACGACATGTTTCTCTTCTGCAACAGCATCACTCTGCCCCATTTACCTGAGCGGTTCCTAATATATCTTTAGGGCTTATACAGTCGCAGCTCTTTTTAAAACTCTCCAAGCTGTCCTAAACTGTCACAAGTGAATTTGTATTCATCATATCATATATGGTTTCTTTATCTTTTTGTTATTTTTGCTGTTGTTTTTTCCCCCATAGCTGAATCAAATCAGGTTAACCAATCCAAAAAATACAGTCTTTTGTCCCTACTCGCCCTATCATCACAAAACAAATTCTTCCTGAAAACTCCTCCCACGTCCCGTAAGGAAACAAAGGCTTGCCAGGCCGCAGGATCTTCTGATGCATACGTAGCGGCAGAGCTGGACGATGAGGCAGACTCTAGTGAACCTCTAAGTCCCACCGGCCAGTACGAGAACTACCGGGCAGGGCTGGACTTTGCTATATCTGATCTGGTCTCACTGGACTCCCAGGCTGAAGTGGACCAAGGTATTTTTATAAGGAAGGGAGCTACTGAAATCAGTGTGAGGCTACGGCTCTCTTCCATGTGCTGCTCTGTTTTGTGCCACAGTCAAAAGACTCAGCGCTGCTCTTCCAAAAAGCCTCTTTGCCTCCCTTTCACTTCATTTTTCTAAAATGTAATTCACAGCGATTCAGGTGCATTCACTGTCACTGATGAGGAGTAATCCATAAATCTAGATGCTGCCGGGGCTTTTAAAATCATTCATCTTTTTTCACACGCAGACTAACACAAATAACCACCTTCAGCTGCTCATGTAATCAGCTCTAACTATCGGTTCCTGTTCTCAGCCTTTGGATTTGCTGATAATAACCATTATAAACTCCTTCCTTTCCCTCCTGTAGCTGAAGAACTGCTGGGATTGGTGATGAGTGTGGCTGAAATTTGAATTCAACTTCTTTCTTTTTTTGCTATAACATCAGGGGTGTTGCACCTTTCTGTGGCATCACATACCTCACGCTGGCTCTTTGAGTTTCATCTTACGTCTCTGTACCCTATTCACTCCATTCCCATTGCAGTTGCAGCACGCTGGTGGGGCACAAAGCGGCTGGACTTTGCCCTGTACTGCCCCGATGCCCTAACAGCTTTCCCCACAGTGGCTTTACCGCACCTGTTCCACGCATCATACTGGGAGTCTACTGATGTTGTGTCTTTTCTCCTGAGGCAGGTGAGTAAACAGCAATAATGAAAGTGTTAGGACTTATTCAAAAATTCTCAGTATGAATCACTGAATTGTCCCCTTTCAGGTCATGAGGCACGAAAACTCAAGCATTCTGGAGCTCGATGGAAAAGAAGTGTCTGAATTCACCCCCTCTAAACCTCGAGAAAAGTGGCTCCGCAAGAGGACTCACGTGAAGATCAGGGTGAGCATCTTATCTGGAAACAAAGTCTGTTTCAGAGAGCTTTAAAGTTTAATCGGGGACACTACGATACCTGCCATCTAGTTACAAATCAAAAAATAGCCCTTTTGTTTTTCTTTTTTTAAATTCATTTCAATTTAAAATTTTAATAAAGCACCAAATCACAATAACTGTTGCTTCAAGGCAAAGACCCTACAATAATACAGAGAAAACGTCCAACAATCAGATGACGACCCCCTCCCCTATGAGCAAGCACTGGGTGACAGTGGGAAGGAAGATCTCCCTTTTAAAAGGAAGTAACTGCCGTTAGGGTTGAGGGGAAGGAGACGTGACAACACTCTGGACGACAGCCAAAGATTATTAATGACCAATTCCAACCAATATGCAAAAAAAAAAAAAAGTTGTTGGTATTTGTAGACTGTTTATGTTTAAATAAAGATAAAGCAACACATCAGCATTTTCCCTTTGTTTCTTCTGCATTGACAGAACGTGACCGCCAACCACAGAGTGAATGATGCCGTCTTCACTGAAGATGGCCAGCAGGTCTTGACAGGCCGCTTCATGTACGGCCCTCTGGACATGGTGACTTTGGCCGGGGAGAAGGTGAACATGCTTCTGTCTTTAGTAGCTCACCTGCTGTTAGAGATACCTGGGAAATCTGGGTTTGAGCTTTTTTTTTTATTTTTATTTTTTTAAGTTCACTTCTAAGTGGATTTTAAGTCTCATACATTTGAGACATGTGTCTTATGTTTGACACACAATCCAAAGTTCAGGTATATATAATGATTGCTGTGAAATTTTAGCTTCATAAATTTCAAGATATATTATTGAAAATTGGTCCGTTGACCCAGGACATCTTGAAATCTGAGCCACTGCTTGAGCACAAGTATGTCGCATTCACTGGCCTTACTAGAGTATTCACCAGTTGGCTAGTAGAGCCCTACATTTGAGCACTCACTAATAATGTGAAACATTTAGAAAACTTTTTAATGTGAAATATTTAATCATAAAAATGAAGACAATGTTGTTTTCGTTCAACTTTACCTCTGGGTTGAGGAAATATGAAAAAAACTCAAATATCTGTCGATCAGCTGCGTTGAAACGCTTTTGTTTCCTTTTCATTCCTGCGCAGGTCGACCTCCACATCATGACTCAGCCACCATCGGGAGAATGGGTGTACTTCAACACCGAGGTGACCAACAGCAGCGGGCGCGTGTCTTTTGTCATCCCAGAGGACAAGCGTCTGGGAATCGGCGTGTACCCGGTTAAAATGGTGGTCAGGTGAGATTAGCCTGGTACCAAACTGTTATTGTATTTTATATATTCAAGCTTTTTGTCCGTTTATCTTCACAGAGCCTCGTTTCCATTTGACTTTTAGCTCACTTTATTGCAGCTCATTTTTTCTTTAATCTTTTGGTTTCCATTTCCTTACTCTTTTTCTTTTTATTCATCAGGGGTGACCACACGTTCGCTGACAGCTACCTGACAGTTGTTCCACGTAGCACGGAGTTCGTAGTGTTCAGCATCGATGGTTCATTTGCTGCCAGCGTTTCGATCATGGGCAGTGATCCCAAAGTGCGAGCTGGAGCTGTAGATGTTGTCAGGTAGCTGGCTGCTCTACCTCTCCTGTTTTCTTGGCTTCACATATTTTCTCCCTGATTGAACTTTAAGATCTGGTGTGTCCTGCTGCTTCTCCTTATTTCAGGCACTGGCAGGATTTAGGCTATCTGATCATCTACGTGACCGGACGGCCAGACATGCAGAAGCAACGGGTAGTGGCCTGGTTGTCTCAGCACAACTTCCCTCATGGCATTGTCTCCTTTTGCGATGGCCTGGTCCACGACCCGCTCAGGCACAAGGCCAACTTCCTCAAGTCTTTGACAGAGGTCAGAGTGGGGATGGGACAAATGCTGACAACCCGTTATTATTTTAAAAATGTACCCATTTGTTTAAAAGAAGCCAGGATTGAACATTTCTCGTCTTCATTTCTCCGATTTCAGGCACACATGAAGATTTTTGCTGGCTATGGATCAACCAAAGACATCTCAGTCTACACCTCCATTGGCCTCCCTTCTTCTCAAATATACATTGTTGGCAGACCTTCTAAGAAGATGCAGCACCAGTGCCAGGTATCACTTTCTGCAAACGATCCTGTTAATAGTCTCTTCTCACATAAAAAAAAAAACTAAAGTAAAAGCTCAAGTCACCGCAAAATGTGTTGCTTTTTAGTTGACAGTTGTTTCTCTGATCCTTCAACAGTTCATCACAGAGGGATACGCAGCTCATCTGTCCCAGCTGGAGTACAACCATCGCTCTCGGCCAGCCAAGACCACCAGTGCACGCATGGTGCTACGCAAAGGCAGCTTTGGCTTGGGAGCAAACAGTGACTTCTTGAGGAAGAGGAACCATCTGTTACGCACCATCTCCTCTCAGCCAGCCCCCAGCTCTCCGACGGGCAGCATCCACAACAGGCCGGAGCGCACGCAGAGCCAATCAGACAGCGAGCGGCTGGAGCGGGAGCGGCTGGAGCGCGCTCACAGCCACGGCCAGGGAGGGGCCCAGCGCAGCATGAGCATCACGGCCAGCTGCTGGGGCCGCAGCAGCAGCACCAAGCTGGAGCCAGGAGTTTTCAGCTCAAAATGAGACTGGAGACACGATGCATGGTTCGGGAGAGTGACTTACAAATGCAGTGCTGAGGAAGAGACACAAAGTGACGTGAATATAAACGCAAACAGTGGAAAGCAGTTGGCTTCTTGCACCAGATAGGTAAAATACCATAAGGAAAAAAATTCAGGTGCTATAAATCACTCTTTATAAAAACTAACACCAGTCACATTCAGCACAGATAGTTATGGGCAGAGCATGAGGCAACATTCATGATAACACAGACCAACATTTCAAGAAGTGTTGCCCCAAGGCGGGAAAGTGCACACAACCAAATAAAGCTAATATTGTAGGGATCCAGGCTGTTTGTACTGTTTAGTAAATATTTATTAGTCTTGAATACAAGGTCAGTTTTGCTCCTTCAGCACATGGAGACAGTTACACACACACACAAACACGCCCCATGCAAACAACACAGAGTTGTTACAGTAGCAGCTGTAACCAACTAACGTGACCAATGCAAGCACAACAACGACTACAGAGACGAACTTTGTTTATAGCAGTTTTAAAGCTGCGTCCTTTTTAACGCGATGATCAGGTACGTTCCAGTCAGAGAGCGGAGCTGAGAATCAGGTGAAGCTGATTCGTCAATTTAGTGTACACACGGAAACAATCGAGAAGCCAAAATTAATTTTTGTTAGATTTCTTTTCTTTTTTTTAAGGAACACCGAACAGATTTAACCCTCTCAAGGCAGGCGTTGCAGATTTGCAACAGTTAAAAGCTAACAACCTGATTACCCCACATACATATTTTATGAGGTTTTTTACTCAGAAGTACCACTGCAGGTGTTCTTTTGTGCATTAGCAACAAAAACTTAATTTGAGCCTGAGAGGGTTAACATCTTTACACTCCCGTTCTGCTTGTTTTCTGGTCGCCCCTTAGACACGAAGAATCATGTAACGCAACACGAAGCAAAGCGCGTAATTACCCTTTAACTGTGGCTGCAGCTGAAACTGTTCTTGGGTTTTATTGCATCTCACACTTCACTTTATGCCATTGCTGCCGTACCCTCCTGAAAGAGCAGCGTGCAGCTCTGCTATAGGGAAAAGCAGTACTGTAAGGGAAAGTGCCAAAGTGAAGCAGTGCTGAAGGACAAGCCGTCTGTGGATGCAGAGGAAAGGAGGGCTCTCCTGTGTAAAAACAGAAACATAATAAATGGGTTAGTTTGTGTAAGTATGTAGTTGAATGCCTTAACAAGGCTTGTACATAATTGTTACATTACAGTGCAGATCTGGTATCTGGTCCACTGAAGATCAGTTTCAAGTGTCTTCTTTACTCTGGGGGTAAACACCGTCTCATTCAGGATATACTTTATTGATTGATGATACTTGTTGTTATTTAAGACTATAGAAATTTTAAAATGTATGGATTTTTTTCGTGAACAAAATGTGTTTTAAGATTACTTTATCTATGATGTGTTGTTTTTTTTCCCCTCTTTCCTTCAAACTTCAGTTGCAGCAACCAAACCTCAGAGGTCTTTGCCTGGCACAGTGTTGTATTTCTGTTATTTTATCTCTCAGATCACCAGAGTTGTATCAACAGAACTTGTGTCAAAATATTTTTTGTTTTTGTTATTAACTTTTTTGGGGGGGGGGGGTGTGCTTTAGTCTTGGAGTTTTGTTATTGTTTAAAACATTTTTGTTATTTTTATGCTTTTGTTTTATTGTAATCATTACT